GTCCCAGAGTTCAAGGCTACAGTGAGCTATGATTATGCCACTGTACTTCAGCCTGGGTGAGAGCGAGATCCTCTCTTAAAAAAAGAAAAGTTTCACTTTTCTCATCTATAAAAATTAGGTCTAATAACCCCATGTAACAATGCTTCATAATAAACTTCCCCCAGTCTTATGGCTTATAAGCACTTATTTCCCCCCTCACAAATCTGTGAGTTAGCTGGGCAGCCATGCATTGGTCTGCTCAATACATTTTTCTCCTCTCCTATAGGTCAGGGGAGCATAAAAACTAAGTCAAATCAAAACAGCCTGTTTGAAGCTTCTGCATGTGTCTGTTAACATTCTACTGTTTAAGCCCAACATATGCAGGGGAGCAAAGTGATTAATTCTGATGAATAGTTCTAACTAAGAAATGAGGAAAAAAACATGAAAAAAAAATCTTTTTTTTCCATGATTGTTTCCATGATTGTTTTTAGTATTAAACTGAGCATGGAAAGCATCTAGTACAATTCTCAATAATTATTATAATAAACCCCAGAGAGATTTCACAGTGTAACAACACTGTCTCAACTTTGGAATTCCTTATCTGGTATATTCCACAAAATCTTTAGAAGCTATTGATTTCCACATCATTGTCTCTTCTTTATTCCTATAGATACAGATGACTTCTGCCAAGATGCCAAATAGAAACAGCTCCGGGGCGCAGCTCCCAGCCAGAGAGGCGCAGAAGGTGGGTGATCTCTGCATCTCCAATTGAGGTACCAGGTTCATTTCAACGGCAATGGTTGAACAGTGGGTATAGTCCAAAGAGGGCGAACCAAGGCAGGGCAGGTACTGCCCCACCTGGCAAGTGCAATGGACCGTATGATCTGGGACTTCTCCCTTCCCCTTCCTCCCGCCCCCACACTGGTTCAGATACCACGCTTCTCCCAAGCCGTCTGCAACCCACAGCCCAGGAGATCCCTGCCAAAAAGCACTGCGAGTTATCAGCACAAATCTGAGCAGCAGCTCTGGCGGGCACGACAGGTTGTCAGCACAAATCTGGATGGGAGATCTGACTAGCACCGAGAGCACCTGCTGGACAAAGCTACTCACCCCCCAAAAAGAGGGAGAGCCGAAAGCAGGAAGACAGGTGATACGGCTTGGCAGATCCAACCCCCACAAAGCCCAGAAAACTGAAGTTCTCTCACTTGGGAGTTTTGCAGCCAGCACATCAGTTTGAGCTCAACCAGGGACGATCAAGCTCGGCAGGAGAAAGGGAGTCCACCATTGTGAAGGTGGGGCTAATCGCACCTGAGTAAACAAAAGCAGCCAGGCTGAGGCCAAGGCAGCCCGGCAGCGCTTCAACAGGCAAACAAGAGACAGACTACATCCTCAAGCAGCTCCCTCACCCCTGTAGAACCAAAAAAACACCTCATACAGGAGAGCTCAGGCTACACTAGGTGGGTACCCTTCTGGGACGAAGCTGCCAGAGGAAAGATCAGTCAACAATCCTCACTGCTCCACAGCTTCCATGGGTGATTCCCAGACAACCAAGGCCTGGAGTGGACCTCAAGCAGTCCTAGAGCAGAGGGGCCTGTTAGAAGGAAAACTAAAAAACAAAAAGAAATAGCCTCAATGGCAACATAACATATCTACAACCATCCGATCTTTGACAAACCTGACAAAAGCAAGCAATGGGGAAAGGATTCCCTGTTTAATAAATAGTGTTGGGAAAACTGGCTAGCCATGTGCAGAAAGCAGAAACTGGACCCCTTCCTGACACCTTACACTAAAATTAACTCCAGATGGGTTAAAGATTTAAACATAAGACCTAACACCATAAAAACCCTAGAAGAAAATCTAGGCAAAACCATTCAGGACATAGGCGTAGGCGAGGACTTCATGACCAACACACCAAAAGCATTGGCAACAAAAGCCAAAATAGACAAATGGGACCTAATCAAACTCCACAGCTTCTG